TGTGGGGCCTTTGTTGTGAAAAAGGTCCTCCTCGTCTACATATCAGTGAAATATGCCCACCCAGTGATTTATGTTGAAGATGTGGGATGCAAATTATGTAAGTAAGATTGTTTCCAGGTGGTCTGCTTATTGCTCATTGATCCTGGCTTGTTTGCACAAAGTTTGCAGGGAGGTTAGATCATGCCAGCTATTTATTGAGCATCCGTTCAGATTTGTTTGGTTATACAATGCTGCACCAGGCAAGGGCTTTCCCACAATTTTCAGTTCATTTACCTGTCATTTTCAGTATTGCAAAATGTCTGGTTGTTTCTTTCGGAGGAGGGAAGGAGCTTGTTGCACAAGAGCTCCCATTCAACCATGATCATGCAACTTTAATTTTCTGGTATGTGATTGAATCTCACCCCAAAACAGCCATAAATGGCTGGAAACGCCCTAGGTAAACTAATTTTTGCAAACTGCCCTGAGAATGTTGTTGAAGGGCTTGGTCATGGTGATACTCAAACCTTCCCTAACTTCAGATGTATAATTCTTAAGACGTTATTTGAGAGCTGAAAGAGAACTTTCCGCTAGCAGAACAGTTTTACCGGGCTAGAAAATCCTCCATATGGTGAGCTGTCAGGAATGCAGCTGCATGGAGGGAAGAAAAATTCCTGGCAAATATTGCTTTCCGTATGACCTGTTTATTGGGCAGTCATCCTGATTCATTTGCGGGGAGGTTAGAAAATATTGCAGCAAGCAAACGTTACCTCCACAGTGCCCATTGCAAAAAGTCTGGGCGGAGGGAGCAGGTTTGTTGTGCACGAGATCCAAATCAACTTAAATTGTGCAAACTGAATTTGCCGCTGTGCGACTGAATCCTGTGTGAAAGGCCAGTAACAGTCTGGAAGAGCCCTCAGACACTTTCCAGTGGCAATTCGCAGCAGCAGGGCAACTGTAGAAAATGTGCCCACGTGAATAGCCACTGTGAAGGGCAATTCAAAACTCATGGTCCTTTTTCCAGCATTTTCCAGCATTCATGGGGGTCACACTCCATGGAGGATTTTCTTGCTGCTGAACCAGCCTACGCTACAGTAATACAGGTACCTCAGGTTAGGTACTTACCGTAATTCTATCCGGAGATCCGTTCTTAACCTGAAACTGTTCTTAACATGAAGCACCACTTTAGCTAATGGGGCCTCCTGCCGCCGCCGCAGCACGATTTCTGTTTTCATCCTGAAGCAAAGTTCTTAACCTGAAGCACTATTTCTGGGTTAGCGGGGTCTGTAACCTGAAGCGTATGTAACCTGAAGCGTATGTAACCTGAGGTAGCACTGTAGTCCAAAACTTGGCAGTATCAGAAGCTGCCGTTTATTTTGCAGGAAAAACTGCAGAGGGTTGAAAAGTTCTTTTATATCAGAGAAATTTCCCTTGTGTCAAAATGTGAAGTAATTCAAATAGGCCACATCTGTCTGAGTCTCAGAAAACAGAGTTTGGGACGCTTCCTTCCGAACTGGGAAGCTTGCCTCAGAATTAGGGGATGTTATTTCCAGAGGAGCACTGGCTGAAATATTTGGAAAAGGCTAGGAAAGCTTTTCTTCTATGTTGCACTTTAATTCCTTTTGTTTTCTGAAGACTAACAAGAATGACTAGAAGGGCCTGTTCTTGTTTTTGCCATTACTCTAGGAGGCAACATTGCCACCTCTAGCAATCTCAGAAGAGAGAGGTTAGTCAAATCCTGTTTTTTTATCCTCTTGTTTACATTCCAGCAGGAGAGAGTCAGCAAACATTAACCTCAGCTTGGCACAGGGTCAATGCCGCTGACAGAAAAGATGGGGCAGACTTTGCTCGCTCTTCATGGCTAAAAAGGCAGGGAAATTGCTAATCTGTGGGGGCTGCGCTATTTGGAGAGGAATGTGCCGCACAAAAGGAATTGCCATCTGAAGCCCCCCAGTTGCCTAAGCAACCATAGCACTGGGGAAGAAACAGGAGAGTTTGTTTTACAGGCCAACAATAAATTAGATCGAGAGATCATTGTACCGCAGAAAGGGGACATGGAGGCTCTAAAAACACATCCATGTGTTCTGAATGGGCGGGGGGTGGGAGCGCATTGATGGCCATTTATATAGGGACAAGTTTACAATATGTGCAGCAACTTCCACCGACCTTGGGTCAAATTCTGAGGCGGTTCTGGACACTTTAATCAGGATAGTTTCGCCAAATTGACAGTTGAACTGTTGTGTTTTCCTAGGGCCGGCATATCTTCACAGAATTGTAGAGCTGGAATGGACTCCATGGGTCATCTAGTCCAACCCCCTCCAATGCAGGAGTCTCAGCTAGGGTATCCATGACAGGTGGCCACCCATCCTCTGCTTAAAAACCTCACAGTCAGCAAGATCTTGTGCGATTTCCAAGAGATCTCACAGGGAACCGATGCCGCTGCTGGTCCCGACTGTCTGCTGGTGGGTGGGTTTATGAGGCAAGCACTGCTTCTTGGGCTTCTGTTGCCTGAGGCAGGCACCTCACCTTGTCTCATCAGTGGGCCGGACCTGGTATGTAGCCATAGTATCCTGGAGGAGTGCACCAGTGCCCTGGACTGCTCCTGATAGGAAGTGGGGAAGATATACTGGAACATTTTGTTCTACGTCCTACTTCTTATTATTTTCAAAAGAATAGCTTTTTAAATTGCCACTAATCTTCCATTTGGGATGGCACAGTTGCTAGCCAATCAACCCTGTGCAGAAAATAAAATAACAACAACAACAAAATAATAATAATAATAATAATAATAATAATAATAATAATAATAATAATAATAATTTATTTATACTCCGTCCATCTGGCTGAGTTTCCCCAGCCACTCTGGGCAGCTTCCAATTGAGTGTTAAAAACAATACAGCAAATATTAAAAACTTCCCTAAAAGGCGCTGCAGCAGTACAGGAGAACTTGTTCTACCTGCCAAGGATGAAGTAAATGCAGCAAGACTTCCAGAGCACAGCAACTCCTCTTTCTATGTACAGTGGTACCTCGGGTTAAGAACTTAATTCATTCTGGAGGTCCGTTCTTAACCTGAAACTGTTCTTAACCTGAGGTACCACTTTAGCTAATGGGGCCTCCCGCTGCTGCTGCGCCACTGCTTCAAATCACTCAGAAAAGGAAAGCTCTCATCTAAAACCAATTTTAGCTAGCAACAATGCTAACATGCATGGGGTTATGAACAGACATGGCCATAATCTAACACACCATTAGACATGGCTGGAACCCGAAGCAGTTACTAAGGAGCAAGTGAGGTTTACTTCTAGAGTGGCCATTTGTCCTGCTTTATACAGAACAGCCTTGTATTTGAAGGAGTCCTGTTTGAAGGGCTGCTCTACCCAGGTCCATTTTCAAGATTAAGAATTACGAAAATGGAGGCATAGCGCGATGGTTGAAGTTGCCCGTCATAGCAGCAGACTAAGCAGGCACACAGTTCATACAGTCATAGCCTTTCCTGCTATAGCAAAACACATTCTTGTTTAAATTATACTAATTATTTCAAAAGTTGCTGCTGTACATACAAATCATGTGCAAATTTTATGCAAATCTCTCCCTAGTCCTCTTTTTTTTTGGGGGGGGGGTTTGATGCATTTCCTATTTGCTTGCTCCCGGAACTGCCCAGATGACAAGGAAATCAAAGCAATACGTTTGGCACCAGCTTGGCTGCCCGAATTCCCAGAAGGAGGCATACTAGCTGTCATCTAACTGCCTTAGGGACTCCTCTCTGGGTTTGTGTAGGACATGGGTAGGCAAACTAAGGCCCAATCGCCTTCCAAATACAGCCTGCGGATGGTCCAGGAATCAGCGTGTTTTTACATGAGTAGAATGTGTGCTTTTATTTAAAATGCATCTTTGTGGGGCATAGGAATTTGTTCATTTTTTTCCTTCAAAACAAAGTCCGGCCCCCCACAACGCCTGAGGGAAAGTGGACCGGCCCTCTGCTGAAAAAGTTTGCTGACTCCTGGTGTAGGGCTTACTCCTTACCTTTTCTTCTCCCGAAGATATCCTGCAAGGCAGTGGAAGCCTAGGATCGGAGTTTTCCTTCTCCTAGATGGGCTACCTTCCCGGGTTGGCAAGCCACATCTGCCCCTCACTTCCCTCTACAGCACATGCAGAAACCGCTTTCTTGACCATTGGATCCACTATTGGTCTCGTCCACTCAATCCGTCAGAGCTCATCTCCGCATGCAGGGGAAGCCCCTAAGCCACTGAGGGTTTGAGACCCATTGGCGATCCTCATTCGGTTTAGCTGGCCAGAGTTCAAGGATGTTATCAACCAAAAAAAAAACTTCAGGAAGGTGTAATGAAGTGTTGCTGAGGAATGTGGCCTGGGGAGAGAGGGTGTGGCAGGGGAGGGGATTTTGTTGTCCCAAGGGCCACACAGAGAGGTCTGAAGGGCCGGGTATGGCCCCTACCCCTTGCAGGTCCCCCAGCTTGGCTTAGAGCTTCAGTCTTATCGAGATGGGAGCAGTCATTCCAGTGGTCCAAATGGAACAGCACGTCTAACCAAATAATTCTGCAATTCACCCTAGTAGATATGATTAACAGATAAGTTGGCAGTATTTTAAACATGTTAAACAGCTGAGTTGCTATGTTGCTTTTAAAAGGAAATGTATTTTTGAGCACTTGGGAATACAAGAGAGAGAGAGAAGGAGAGGCTGAGCTGCGGTTTGGACCCTTTGAATACTTTCCACAGTGTTTGCTCCAGATCCCAGGAATCTGTTTATTTTGAAGCGGTTTTCAAGTCACCAAGAATCCACCACATTTATGATTTGTGAGGGTTGCCTTTCCGTATATCTATATATCATGAAGACTATACACATATAAGCACATGCGTCAAAAATACTCTTTTAAGAATATTTGCCCAGAGACTATTTTTGAAACCAACCTCATTCTGAGGAACGAGGTTACACCCATTTGGTTTCTTTCAAGGCCAAATTCTTGGAATAAAAAAAAAAAAAGAGGGGGGAGGGAGGAAGGGAAGGGAGGGCTGAAAATAATTCCAACTTCGCTTTTCTCCCTTTAAACCGGAGCTGGAAATCCAGCTCCTTTGCTTGCTACCGTTTTCGTCCTTAAGTTAGAAACAAAAACGCTTAACTTTGTGATCAAGGGAAAGATATATATATTTCCAAGGACGAGGCGAGGAGCCAGGATCCCACCCGCCCTCTCTCTGCCTCCGCCCGCCAAGCCCCAGCAACAGTTGAGCTCTGGAACCCGAACGATGGGTCTGCCGGAGGAGCAGCGCTAGGCAGGGGCGGCCGCGAGCCACACAGCCGGGCTGCGGCGATGGGCACGGGCAGCAGCAGGCCGGGGAAAGGGCGCAGCTCGGTGAAGCCCTGGCGTGGCCGGGGCAGCGGGAGCATCAGCGCCCCCGCCAGGCAGGGCCGAGCAGAGGAGGAGCAGGGCGCGGAGCCCAGGTGCTATAGCCAAACGCCGGCGCGCGCCACCACCTCGCCGTCGGCGGGCGAGTCCGACTCGGACTCGGAGCTTCTGGACCGGGTGCTGGAGGAGTGCGGCGACGAGGGGCTCGGGCAGCCGACGGGGCGACGCCGCCGCCCCCTCCTCCTCGAGGCCGCCAGGGATGGCTGCTCCCGCCCGGCAGAGGGCAGCGGCGAGGAGGTAAGGCGGTGCTGCAGGTCGGTGGGGAGGCGAGACGGCGCGTCCAGGGTTTTCCATTCATGCGTTTTTGGAAAAGCGAGCTGAGCAACTAGTCGACGGGCGGGCAATATTTCTCCGATGCAAATAGGGACGTCCTATTCCCCAATAATAATGGTGATCGTTTTATTATTTATATTCGTCCCGTCTGACGGGGTTGCCCCAAGCCACTCTGGGCGGCTTCCAGTCGTGTGTTTTTTAAAAAAAATTCCGTGTACAGAGCTGCCTTCGGATGTCTTCTAAAGGTTGTCTAGTTACTCATCTCCTTGGCTGGGGGGAGGGTGTCGTATGGCTCCATATCCTCCAGCATTTCTGCCTAAAGAAAAGCCGGACATCCCAGGATCAAATCAGGAACCGGGTTGGCTTCTGTAAATCTGGGGTTGTCCTTGGAAAATAGGGACTTTTGGAAGGTCTGGGAGAGGGAGCAAGATCCTGGAAGAAAGCGCGTGCCTTCTTGGCATGTGCACTGTCTTAAGGGCGCTTCCAGGCAGCTGTGTTTTGGGGGGTGGGAGTCTGTCCCGCAGGCGCAAAGCCGAGACGCGCAAATTCTGCTTGGTTTGGGCCGCTTGCGCAGCGCGCTTTCTGAAGCGCCCTGGCGTGCTGGAAAGCGGGATAACAAATGATTCGACGCCGCATGGAATCATTGAATTGTGAGGGAGCCCGAGGGTGATCGAATCCAAACCCCTGCAAGCACAAGTGCCAACTCCTGACGGCCCAGGAGTCTTCGCCCCCCCTAAAATATTTGTGGGGGCCGGACGCCTTCAAAGTTGATAGGCATTGCCATTCAAATAGTGTATGTGCACTGCGTCATGTGATTGATTATGCGGGACGGGGCTTCCCTCCCCCCCGTTCAATATTTTATTCAAGTTGGCACCCTGCTGCAAAGCAGAAATCTCAACTGAAGCACCTAATCTCTGCTTTGAAACCTCCCAGGAAGGAGAGTGCACCGCCTTCCAAAGGAGTCCAACAGCTCTGTCACAAAGCTATTCCCCATCATAATATCTTCCCCTCAAACAAACAAGGACAGATGCTGAAAGAAACACCCACATTGTTGAACTTTCCCACAAACTTTGGGTTGAATGTTCAATAAGCAGGCCGCCTGGCTCTGGAGGTGATCTAGGAATTGCTTTCAGAAAGGCGCTTTGCATGGCTTGAACTCAGAGGATTGGCATATTTGTGGTCCACAGGGGCCCTGTGTTCGAAAATATGACAGAGCTAAATGCGTAAGAATGAGCTAGTTAGTAAGAACTGTCTAACCCCACATGAACTGACCCAGAGCCTGTGATCATCACCTGAGGTCCTTCTCCGTGTACGCACATTTATCATGTCATTTTTTACAAAATAGTGCATTCTGCCCAGCTTTGATCCAAATTGAGAAAGAAGAACCTAGCTGTTTTGTGTTGATAATGTGCACAAAGCCTCAGCCCTCCTTTAAATTCTAGTTTTATGAAAAAATACTCTGCTTGCTATAGTGTTAAGTGAAACAATGCCATCTTGTGGCTTACCTTCTTAACCATTCCTGGCTGTGCCCAGAGTGGTGCATGCTCTGGTTATCTCCCGCTTGGACTACTGCAATGCGCTCTATGTGGGGCTACCTTTGAAGGTGACCCGGAAACTACAACTAATCCAGAATGCGGCAGCTAGACTGGTGACTGGGAGCGGCCTACATTGAGACCTACATTGGCTTCCAGTACGTTTCCGAGCACAATTCAAAGTGTTGGTGCTGACCTTTAAAGCCCTAAACGGCCTCGGTCCAGTATACCTGAAGGAGCGTCTCCACCCCCATCGTTCTGCCCGGACACTGAGGTCCAGCACCGAGGGCCTTCTGGCGGTTCCCTCACTGCGAGAAGCCAAGCTACAGGGAACCAGGCAGAGGGCCTTCTCGGTAGTGGCACCCGCCCTGTGGAACGCCCTCCCATCAGATGTCAAAGCGATAAACAACTACCTGACATTCAGAAGACATCTGAAGGCAGCCCTGTTCAGGGAAGTTTTTAATATGTGATATTTCAGTGTATTTTTTATCTTTGTTGGAAGCCGCCCAGAGTGGCTAGGGAAACCCAGCCAGATGGGCGGGGTACAAATAATAAATTATTATTATTATTATTATTATTATTATTATTATTATTATTATTATTATTATTTGGTGTGTGACAAACAGAGCCATTCTGTGGTTTCATATGAAAGCTTTTTTAAAGCACGGTGCCACAGGGATCTCTCCTGCACAAGACCTGCTGAAACAAATAGAAATTATGCAACAGCATCAGTGTACTTAATAGGCTCTGTGCTATGACTGGCAATTTTTGGGGTGGTGGTGGGACTGTCACGGATGTAATGTTGGGTCTCTTCACTATGTTTAAGAGTGCATAGTGGCAGAAAAAAGGAGGACAGGTATTACAGGAAAATAATGACACACTGTTGAGATTGTGTTGTAATTGAAACTCCTTTTAGGTTTGGGTAATGTTACAGGGATCTTTCCCTGGCACGGCTCTAAAATAGAATCCTGCAGCAGGATATCTGCTAAGTCAACAGACACAAGAGAGGGGTCTGGATGCTGCAGATGCACGCTTAATTCATTATTCCTGAATACAAAACAGGTGCAACACAGTTCCTCAGCTCTCACTTAATTGCGGTTAAGAGATCAGAGATAAACCACAGAAAATTACCACTCCCATCTTCCCTGTGCACAAAGGAGCACAAACTTCAGCGAATTTAACTTTTCATTGTGTGTCACCCATGATGTCCTGTTGATTTGTTCCCAGGTCTTTTCAGCAAGATCCACTCCAGGCCTAGAGAGCAACAACTTTGCCAACCAGTAAGTCGCCTGAATTCAAATGACAATCTTTTCAGCCGTGGGCATTGTTTTGTTTTTACAGAATACTTCTATCCCACCTCAGAGCCCCAGGAAGCTATCAGAGCAGCTTACAAAAGATTCTGTCAATAATAATAAAAAAGGCATTCAAATCTGGCACCAGGCACATAGGAAAGGTTGAGCTTTTTAATGGCCACGAAGCCTAATTGGAATGCTGTTATTTTTATCCTTGTGCAAGTGTGGGGAAGTCCACTCACCTTGAGGCAAACTGGAGGAGACCAAACGTCATCAGAATTTGGTTGCCTTAATTTAGATGTTGAGTGAGTTCCCCTAAGTAGGGACAGCTGTTTTCTCAAGAAGCGTGTTGGGAAATTTGAAAATAATTATTCATAGCACCCAATGTCTTTGCCTTAAAAAAAAATAAATCACTCTGCTGTGTGATGCAGCCTTCCATTTGCTTCTAGAAGAGGACGGGGAAAGGTCTAGAATTGCCTGTCAAGCATTCTCACTACAGTTCTGCACCTCTTGCTAAAGAAGGAAAGCACCTGTCTTTTATTTATAGGCTTAAAGGTAAAGGGACCCCTGACCATTAGGTCCAGTCACGGACGACTCTGGGGTTGCAGCGCTCATCTCGCTTTATTGGCCGAGGGAGCCGGCGTACAGCTTCCGGGTCATGTGGCCAGCATGACTAAGCCGCTTCTGGCGAACCAGAGGAGCGCACGGAAACGCTGTTTACCTTCCTGCCAGAGCGGTACCTATTTATCTACTTGCACTTTGTGCTTTCGAACTGCTATGTTGGCGGGAGCAGGGACTGAGCAACGGGAGCTCACCCCATCGCAGGGATTCGAACCGTCAGCCCTAAGCTCTGGTTTAACACACAGCGCCACCCATGTCCCTTTATAGGCGCATATATATATATATATATATATATATATATATATATATGCTTACTGACGTTAAATCAAAGAGGTTCCTTTGCTACAATTTTGTTTTAGCTTGATATTTATTATTCCAGAACAATTCTTTCCCTTCACTTGTTAGTGCTGCTGTCCTTACAATTTGCATGACTTCTCCCTCAGTTAAATTAAATATGCCCAGATCCCAGAGGATATATTTCCACCTCTTCCACACATACAGACACATTTCCCTTTCAAAAAGTTCCTCCTTTTGTCCCGAGCTCAATTTTATTTAGCATTTCAAGGTGGGGTGTAAATATTCTTGATAAATATTTATTTTTAAAAGCATTGTGTAGATAGGAGACAAAAGCTATTCAAAGTAAAAAAAATGGGGGCTGTGCAGAAATAACATTTTGCTATTGGGGTGCAAAAAAATGGGCCTCTCCTTCATTTAGTTTTGCATATTGGCTATAGTTTGATTATTAATTATTATTATTATTATTATTATTATTATTATTATTATTATTATTATTATTATTTCTGCAGGCTGCCACTCAAGAAGCTTGAGAGGCAGGCCAAGATATCCTACGATTACTCCGAAGAGGAGCTGATGGCAACGATTGAGCAGGAATACTGTCGCTGAAGGCTGTTGTGGGCTGTGCCAACAGTGACCTGTGAACAAGCTCACTATGGGGCGAGATAGTTGAAGCTGCAGCGGTGTTTCTCAGAAAGGTGTTTTCTCTGGGATGGGGTGGGGAGGGGTGGGGAAGGCAAGAGCAGAGAAGAGGGCATGCCACCATCCAAGAAGGCTGGTAGAATCCTCAAACAGGCTGGAGAAGCTTCTGCAGAGTTCTCTCTGCCATTATGTCAGGATGTGGCCTTATAGGGACTCTCGTTGTGCTCATTTGGGAAAATACATCTCCAAAGCTGGCGCACCTACAGGCGGAATGTCAAGTTTTCCTGATATCTTAAAATTATGACTTATGAAGGCACCATCACCTTCGTCCTCAGAGTCTTGGGAGACATGCAAGGGACTTGAATCCTTGTTTTCGACTGTCTGCTCTTTTGCCTTTCCTGTGGGCCAGCTTTGATCCTGTCAGACCCCAAGCACTAACCTGTACATTATTAAAGCATATATTCCCAGCAAATTGTACCAGCCTCTTGTAGTTATAAGATTCTCCGTGGTCACTGGAATGAATCGGAAGGAAATTTATCAGCCATGCGTCCAAGCTAAATGCTAACTCTTGACAATATTAAAACAGGCACTATTTCCTCTACTTTTCTGTGGACAGTTTAAATGACACCATAAGATGCTCTCTGCTTCCAATTTCTCCTGCCTCTGCCTTTTGATGGTGCTAATTCTTCTTGTAGGTTCTTCTTGTTCAAATTAAAAGTAAATGCTTTTTGAGGTTCAACAGCAGAGGTACTGGAGAAAATCTTACAGGATTAGGCAAGCTTAAAACACAAATGCTAATGAAACACTGGCATAAAGCTATGTAATGTAATCCAGTGCTCATACAGCAAATGCCAGAGGCTAGATTTTAACTTTGGGTGGTACCTGTACTTCCTGTTCTTTTATCTTTTTTTTTTACAAATATGTACACATCATGCAGCTTCGATATTTTTCTACAAGTTAAGTGGTTGTTGTTTATGTGTCATTCATGGGGACAGCTTAGGACTGCGAAACAATTCAAGAATTGGCCAGCACTATACAGGAAATTACTTGGAATAGATACAGATGTACCTAAAACCAGGGTCCATCGCACTATGGAAACCTTCTGGGATGCACATGCCATTCTTCTGTCAGTCTGTTTTTTGAAACAGGAAATTCCCTGCAAAAATCAGCTGAGGCTGATGGAACCACGTATGCTGCTTTGAAAACATGCCCACTCAAGTCAAGTGGTTGGCGGATTTCCCCAGGAAACTTTTCCTTTAGAATGAAAGCCACTTGTTCCAGATGGCAGCCAGCTTCCCTTGCCAAAACATATACCCTTTCATCATCTTAATGGCCCCATTCATCTCTCAAAGGGCCCCCTTCCAGACACCCTTTCTATTGTGCATTCGTGATGATTTGTGCACAAGATGCTATCGGCTGGTCATGCCCAATCCTTGTTTTAATACTCTTTGCTGCTGCAAAGGTTTGGTTGCATCAGGGTTGACTGCAATATTCTGCAGATGTTGTGCATGCAAAGCACTTTTGAGTGTTTCAAAGTGTGGTGTAAATGCAAAGCATTCGTATCAGCCAAGAAAAACGTTGCTTTCTCTTCTTTCCCTATTGTTTTGAGGTAAAAGGAGTGCTGTCAGAGGGGAGGAAAAACGGCAAAACCATCTATGCAAATATTCACTTTACTAGAAGAGGGATTACAATGCAGCCCTTGAAGGAATACAAACAATATTTGCATATGCACACAAATACAGGAATCCCACAATAAAATGAACAGAAAGACAAAACAAGGTTTATAAAATATTAGGCACAATATTTTACTACACCAAACATAAATTCCCATAATCTTAAGTCAGGTAATAATCAGCATGGGAGAGGGGGGAGAGAATTAGGAAACTTTTTGAAAAGCCTCGCAATTGCACAAGGGAAATATTTTGACTTCTGGCAACTTTTGATGAACTTCAATGGAATTAAACCAGAGAAAAATGGACTATTGCATCTCCATATTGTCAGAAAGGGGCAGAGACAGTGATTCCAGACGAATCAAGTTGTTGCATTTTGGTTTTATATACACTGCATTTCTGCCATGTAGCTTGTCTTCTCAACAGCTCCTTTTTTTAACACTGAACGTGTAGAATATTCATTTTTGTTTAATTAGGTGACCATAAAGTGAAGGGGGGGAAACCTATTTATACTCATCTTGCACCTTCTAACATGTTTCAGAGGAGCCACAGATCTGCTGGCTCGTGAAATAAAGTTTATTATTTATAGTAAATCAAACACACAAATACAGTAAGGTGCAGTATGGGTAACATTCCATGCGTGCTGAACTAGTGACCCATCAAATGCAGTCCACTCACCTAGGAGAACTTCCTGCAAACTTCCTATCTTTTCCATCTACTTAATCACCTGCCAAGCCATAATGTACCGTTGGAAACTGCAATAGGCTTGGTAGCTCACGCAATGCGACAGCATTGGTTTAACATCAATTTCAAAGTCTGCCTGCTTCCAATATACTTGAATTGGGAATATAGGTCAGATTGGTTTAAATTGATGATAATCTTTCAATGCATAATTCCCATATCCATGACCATGGCTACATTTTTTTTAAAAAAAGAGAATTGGGTGCTTCTGTTATGGTCAACTTCATGAACGTTAGTTGTCAATAATGGACAGGGAGGTAGATAAATGCTTAAAATGGGCAAACTGATTGCAGTGGCTCTGCAGGCTCTCAACATATGATGTGATGCTGGTAGAGTTGCCAACCAGCCTTTTTTCTTGGCAGAGATCCTGCCCCTGACTTGCAGAAATTTAGCAGCTGAAGCTCTTCATAGCATGTGAATGAAGTGCTAGGGTGAGTTTCACTTTCTCGATTTCTGCAGATCAGGCTGCTGCCGGAGGTACAAAAGCAGATCCTGGCCAACCTATTCAACAGTACTGCCCAAGCCAGCCATGCAGATGTTGTTGGACTGCAACTCCAATAATCTCTGGCCACTGGTCATGCTGGTTGGGGCTGATGGGAGCTGGAGTCTAACAACATCAGGAGGGCCACACATACCATATCCCTGCCCTAGGCATTGTGTTGAAACTGAGGGTACATTGGTACAGGTGTTTTAGAACTGCATTTCTCAAGCTACTTACTCCAGATGTATTTCCAAGTAAACTCCCACCATCTGTGGAAATATTCTCCAATGGCTCCAACACAAATTGGCAAATGCACTGCAATCTTGGCTGAATAATAAAGAGATGAGGTTGAAATTCCAACTGCGAGAGGTCTACCTAGTTTCAGATACCAATGAAGTGTCAGATATTACTTATTCCACACACACATATATACATACACATCTGATCATGCTTTCTCGTCATCATTAGAACAATTATCTCAGCTTGATTAAATATTATGTATACAGAATCGAGCAAATCATGTGAAATGGCAGGTCCACCCTTAATTTTAGTTCTCTTCCATCAGCCGTCCTTTCATTTCACTCATCCAATGTGCTGTGGAAAAGGAGACCACAACAGCAGCAGTTAACATCTCCACAAAGCGCTTTTGCTCCAAAGCTAAGAATATTCAGGTCACTTTTGTGAGAAACGACTTGCTGATCTGGAACCATCCATTGCCAGACAGCAATTTCCCATTATAAATCCAGCTCATTTTGAAAGTGGCAAGACAGGAGCCGATTTGAGTGCTGAACCCTTAATGTCCAATTGCTTCTGTTGCCTTGTTTATTCTCTTTACCTATGAACTACTCAAGTGAGAATTATTTAAGGTGCTGTCTGTTGTGGTTGTGTCATTGATCAGATTTTCAAATGTTTGCTTGGATGATTATAAAAATGGTTATGCGGGCACTGCATTTTCAGCCTTTACTTCAAATCATAAATCCTCCCCCAACTTTATTTAGAAACAATAGCTCAATGTGGTTTGGGCATTTCCCTTAAGGGGTCCTTATACTCATTACTATTAAGAGATCAAGGGCATAATCCAAAGCTAGGCACTTATTTTCCCCACTGAACTCATAAGGGATATATTGATGGACATGCTTAACTTTCACTCTGAAGGGAATGTGATTCGAAAGTTCTTCCGTTCTGAAGACTGGATATACAGAAGTCCTTGCGGTTTGGCAGGACCGTCCCAACCGACAGACAAGCTGCCCCCAAGCCTTCCAAACGTTACCAGCACTCAAATTAAAAGGTCACTTCTCGCGTTGCAATTAATAAATGTAGGGGGCACTTTAGCAAGTCACTCCTTTGCCACAAAATACAAGGTCCACCAAACTTACCCAACTCAAGTCAGACCAGCAGACTGCAAGCAGGGAAGCAACAGGTGGGATTTTGTTCACACAAGCAAATTTGAATGCAGTGGTGAATATATGAAGCCCTGCCACTGTACAATCGTACACATACAGGAGCGTCAAGTAGCCGATGTACAACATCCACTAATCCATACGTGTTTACACACCAACAACTGACTGAGGGTGTGCATTATGGATTGGTGTCTAGGGTTAAAACCTTTTGAGCGTGCAGCTGACCATGTGGAGTTACTGCACAGGTTAGAACTTCCCAGCAGGGGCACACATGGTCAGTGCTGCACCTAAATTGGTCCTGAGCTAGTTATAGGCATCAACAATACCTAGGCCTCAATATTCAGACATTTGGGAAAGAACGACGCTGCTTTAAAATGTGGCACAGCAGATAATCCTAAAGTGGATTCAGTTGCTAGACTGGAGTTCAGACACTCTGAAATTTCAAATTAGTTTGGATTCCGTTTAGGAAATAAATAAATAAATTTCCAAGTGGTACCTCTGATGTTGCTTTTCACTCTTCTCACAGGGTGATTTTGCAAGATCAGACCACAGCTGAACTCATTAGATGGGGGGGGGGGGACTAGTTTAAAATGCCAGGGGAGGGAGGGGGAACCACCCTGTTTCACTTTTCATCAACCACTGTTAACTCAACAGAAAAGATATGTTTGCAAAGCCCATTGCCAACATTCCCACCAAAAATATTCTCCCTCCTCCCCCCAAGTGCTGTTGAATGCCCTTAAAGCATTGGGGAAAACAAAAGGATAACAGAAATAAAACGTTAACATTTAAATAGGGCTTAATATGAAGGGATGGGGAGGAAAAAGAGAGGGCAGAAGTCTTTACAGGATTTTCCTCCTCCTGCTCCACAATATAAATGCAACCACTCTTGGATACTTTACAACAACAAAAAAACAAAAAAAAAAACAAACAAAACAGTCAAAGCTGGTTTTTTGGAAATCACCCAAGTTCCTCTTGAAATGTTCATCTTCCAAAGCAGGCCTGCTAGCCAGAAGACAGCATAGGCAGAAGCATGCTCAAAGGAGTCTCACTCTTAGGCTTCTCCATGGTTGCAATTCTGTTCAGTTTGCCAACTTCTGTCTGCCAGCTGGGCACTTTCTTTGTCGTCATGTGGCGGCGAGCGTGTTTCGTCAGGTGATCGCTGCGCATGAAGCGGCGGTCACAGACCGGACAGGCAAACTTCTTCTCCCCTGTGTGAGTTCTGCGGTGGCGAGAGAGTTCATCGGAGCGGGCGAACTTCTTGTCACAACCTTCCCAGCTGCAGGTGAAAGGTTTCTCTCCTGGAAAGAAGGAAGCATGGGCAGGTAGGTGGGGGAATCGAAGGGAACCCAAGAACAAGACAGCTGGTTTTACCAAAGAGGTCATACATTGCCACACAAACCATCTCTACTTTAGACTGCCTTTTTTTCTATAGCAGATTACATGAAGAAAGGAAACAAGGTAGACAAGAAGCAATTCATTCAACTGCAGGAACGGCTCTTGAATCTGAACTTACTAAGGAAGACTACAGAAGCCAGGGGGCTTCTCCTCTAAAGAATAAATAGAGCAAGAAGTTTTATAAAAAAAGAAGACCTCCTTTGTTCCCAACACACCCCAGGACATACTCTTTCGTCTTTACAATTAAAACGCTAAAGGTCAGTATTTTTCGCCCCCAAGATAAAAGAATACGACACCCATGATGGCCTGTGTTATGAAACAACCCTTCTCTTTAAATTCATTTCTCTAAAGTTACACCAGGTCTTAAGTCTATTTACTGCACAATGTAATCGTTCTTACTTAGAAGTTAAGCCTGTAGACCTGATCAGACCTACTCACTGCAATTAGGGCTCTCTTCAGACTTTCTGTATCCTGAACCAAGAGGGCTCCAGACCACAAGGAAGACCCTACATGCCTACAGCTGTACACATGTAGTGGCTCTTTCCAGATCTTCTACTGAACATTCAGAGGGTGGGGGTTTTTTTGGGGGGGGAGGGGGGAGTTCCCCAGTCTCCACCTATACATTCAGATGCAAACAATTTAGAAGCTCTAAACCAGTGATGGGGGTGGGGAAAACCAGTGGCCTTCCATATGTTACTGGACTCCAACTCCCATCAGCCCCAAACAGCATGGTAAATATTCTGGCAAGATCATGGGAGTTGTAGTCCAGCAACATTAGAATAGCCGCAGGTTCTCCATTCCTCTTTTTGTCTTCCTAAAAACAGTCCCTCTCCACTAAACAAGAAATGTTCTACTATCCCGTCTCCTATTTCCACACTCCTGAAATGTCCATATGTTGCTAGACAACCACTAAAGACATGCGAGTGGGACTTTCAACACTGTGTGGCGTAGCTCTCTTCAGTGTCCCCTTCAGGCCATACTCATTTTACTCCTCCCTTGAGGTTTCAGTCTCTTCCCATAATCATCCGTCTGGAACCACTAAGCACATTTAAGCCCTCTCTGGGCTTTTAGTCTACCCTCACTGCCACCCCAATAGGGTTTCTTTTCTCTCTTTTTTGTACTCCGCAAACTTCGAAACCCACCAGGAGCCTGGTGCATTTTGCACTTGGCTATCAGCCACTTGTGACGATGCCAAGGCGCCAGGATGGTGCCTGACGTCACCACCATCTGAAGATCCTTGGATCTTGCCTGTTTTCACACAGTAGCGAAGGATCCTGTAGAATTCTATCTGTTATATTTTATCTGCACAATCAGAACGAATTTCAGGAACCAAAAGTTGTATTGAAAAATATGACTTTAGAGCTGCCTTGCCCCCAAATGGCAACTAGACATTCTCTTTTGGTGACTGTAACCCTGGTTTAAGGAGCCATTTGGTGCCTAGCTTACACATCTAACACTGCTCACAGCTGAATTATACCAGTTCACACCACGGGTCGATCTGGCTCAGTTTCGTCTAGGCCGTATGGCTGTTCTGCTCAAAGCTTTCAGGCATGGGTCTCCCCCAGCCCTACCTGAAGAAACAAGGATTAAACCAGGGACTTTCTGAATACAAGGCCACTGAGCTACAGCTCTTCCCCTCTTGGGTTTGTGTGGTGTCCTATTGGCTACGTAAGCAACAACATCCCCACCTGAGTATCTGCAACAGAGGGATTAGAAGAGGCAGATCACATCCACAGCTCTGCTATACATACCGGTATGAGTACGCAGGTGGGCTTTGAGGTGAGAGCTTTTGAAGTACGTCTTCCTGCAGCCCGGGAAGTTGCAAACGTAATTTCTTCTCCGGGAAAAGTCAATTAGAGGTGTGCTGCTTTGGCCAGAGGCAATGAAAACCGGAGCAGGGGCCAGGGGCAACAACTTGGTATTCCCAACAGACATCACAGTTTGTTGGCAAGGAGGCGCCTGGGCAACAGCAGCCTGCGGAAGAACCAACATAACAGTCCCCTGAGGCATGGAAGGCCCCATCAGCACAGGCTGAGAAACTGGGGCTGTGTGGGGTAGGATGGGTTTGACCGTCGCTGCCATCTGAGCAGAGGGCTTTAGAAAGCCTGGGACCATACCTCTTTGTCCGTCCAAGGGGATCATTTGGCAGATCACTTGGGGATTGGAGAGCGGGGAGGCTAGCAGCGAGGGGGACTTCTGCTGCGGGTCACTTTCGCAAGCGTTCGGGAAAGGGGTCTGCTGCGAAGCAAGCCTCACAGGTTCGCATCCTTTGCTGGTGGCTCTGGAACAACCTGAGCCATGCAAATACAGTTCACGTCCTGGCGAAGTGCCACAAGCTATGCTGTCCGCAATGTCGCAGTCTTGCAAGGCTGAAGGGTGTCTCTCGTCTTGCGCCTCGTGCCCGTCTGCAGAAACACCGGCGCCCAACGCAGCTTCCGCTTTTGTTTGCACAGGAGGAAGGTGGGAGTAACCGGCACTGTCCCCGGTGTGACGGATCACGCTGGTGGCCCTTGCTCTGCAACGCTGAGGAGCAACTTGCTCCGCTCTCGCTGGCGTCTGGCTGGACTCCCTCCCCAAATTCAGGGCAGCTGGCTTGGGTGCAGGAAGAGCACAACCCGGAGGAGTGATCAGACAGGCAGACATGTTCGTCTTGATTGTCCTCGGTTTCGAGTAAGTGGCTTGGGACGAAAGCGGTGCTGTTGTGGAAGGCTCAACAAAATCTGGACTATAGGGTGGTGTCATACACTATATTTAAAGGGGGGGGGAGAAGCAGAGGTAGTATACATATACCAAAATACTACTTTAGGTGTGATCATTCCTAGCTTTCATATTTATAACATTTAAGTGTAAGTCAGACACAATAATAATAATAATAATAATAATAATAATTACTACTTTCCCCCCACAAAAGTTTTAGACAACCATAATGATATTCAAAGACCCTGGTTTGGTTTTTCCCCAGAGAGATCATTAAGGATTAGTTTAGCTAGAAGGGGCTCATCTTAGTCTTTACTGCTATCTGCCTGGCTCTGCAAGGCATGGGGTGAAATCCACTCCAGCGCTTTGATGAGTGGGGTCATCGAGTGCTGCTGACTTGCATGTAGTAAATAACCAAGTGTCTAGGCAGAAGAAAGCTCCAATGAGTTCAGTGGGCCTTACTCCCAGGTAAGGGGGGGGGGCTATGGTGTTTTATCTAGCCAGCCAGGGCTTCGCTGGATGACAAGATCTTTTTGCACCAGGTCAGTGAGGACCACTTGCTGTTTAGAATTCTCCCATATATACAAAACTCCCTGTGCGCCTTTTGGACTGCATCTGTAGGTTCCCTCCTCTGTGTCAAATAACTTGGGTCAAAGAAGTGTTGTTTATTTTTTAATAATACATGGAAGATGGATCTCCCTCGGGAGGTTGTGGACACTCCTTCCCTGGAGGTTTCTAAGCAGCGGTTGGATAGCCATCTGTCATGGATGCTTTAGCTGAGTTTCCTACGCTGCAGTGGGTTGTACTAGAAAGATGACCCCTGGGGTCCCTTTCAGATCTATTATTCTGTTTTTCGGCTTCAACAATATTTCATTATGTTCCTATCATTTTGTGTAATTGCATTTTGGATAAATTATGAAAATTATAAAACATGTTCTATTTGAAAACAAAACGTTTAAATAGCTATCTTTCTACCGGTAGGACAGGGGGAGGCAGGGGAATAGCCAAGATTTTTGTTAGGAGGGCAAGCTTTTGTTGGCGGAGCAGAACCTCAGATTTGTATTGACTGTTATTTCCGGGGGGGGGGAATTGACCCCCCCCGGCTACATGCATGGGAGGAGCACAGGAAGGAAACAAGGTTGGAAGGGGGCCATGGTCTGAAAAAGGTTTGCAATCATATTCTGTTGGGAGCTGCCCAGAGTGGCTGGGGATACCCAGTGTGGGGTGTGTGTGTGTGTGTGTATATATATATATATATATATATATATATATATATATATATATATATAAAATCATCATCATCATCTGGAGGATCCCAGGATAGGGAAGACTGCATTATTCCAAAATAACCTCAAACACATCGTTAACTAAACTGAAGCAACTGTACTTGTGAGTGGAAATGTATGCTGTTCTCTTAGAGCTTATTGCATAATAAATGCCTTCAAGCCAAACCAAGAAATTACTGCTAACAGATTAAATGGGGGACATATTCATGTCTTTCCTCTCAAAAAAATTCATATCGATTCCATGCAAATTCATTTTGTTCCAGGGTTTGTTTGTTTTTTCCTTACCAGTGTGGATAAAAAGTTATAATCCTTAGGCAACTCAGACGTGGGTTCAGTGTGCATTGAGAAATCACCTGAATCTGAGACAGGTGTAAGAGGCCTTATCTTCAACAGGTCGCCTTTCTGTGATCTTTGACCCCAGGAGCTCATACAAACAAGTGCCTCTACTGCTTCTATGTCGTTCTGTTCCAAGGTGCTACAAGTAGACCTTTCACTGTCATGACGCTGCCGTTCACGTATGGATTCATAGATGTCCACAATGTCAACCTAGAGATAAGTGAGCCATTGTTTGTAAGTCACACGGAAAACAAGCATATGCCCTATTGTCTGCTTTTAAAAAGGCATCATACATGCCAGAGCCCAATCCAGTTTCTAAGTATGCACACATGAGCAGAAGAAAGGCTATAGCTTAGTACTTAGTACAGTACATCCCCTGGATTCAGAGCTCCACGTTCTTTCTGTCACCTGCTAAAATAATAACAGGTAGTAACGACTGGCAGCCAAGGGAGTGCTGCTGCCAGTCAGTGAAAGCAGTACTACGCTGGCCTGACCAATGAGCTGACTCAGCATGCGTGCATATCAATTGCTGGGTAATTCACAGGTGAATTCAGTTGCTTTCCCGCACTGCACTCCTTTGAATGTGATGTGTATTCAAACACATATCCTGTTCACCTTCTGGAACAACTAAGTTGCACAATAATACCTTTTTTATGTGCAACTCAAACTGGATCAGGCCCCCAGAGATTAAAAAAGCAAAATCTGGCTGCCAACTTTGCTCTTCCACAGGAAAGTTATTCCTTTCTTCAGTTAGCACAGACTGCACCACCATGGCAACAACAGAGAGAGAGAGAGGTGGGTGTGGGTGGGTGTGCACACACATGTGTGCATGTGTTGGGAAAGGTCCAAGAAGATGTAACATCTGCAGCATTGCTTCAACTTTCTAAAGTGACTTCCCAGAATGACACAGTATTTAATGTTAATATTCCAAAACTGCAGGGAAGATGAGAAATAGCGGGGGATCGTTTTATCTCCAGTTTTGTTCAGTGATGGTTTCTTAGAAAGGCAACACAACAGGCCGCTGAAATAAATGCCCAGCATGGTTGACTCATGTATGGGTCAAAGCCACCATATTTTGTTGGTCATGAGCATCTCCCTATAGCAAATAAGTGCAATGCAAATACCTTTCACCAGTCTAGAACCCCACATGTGCATAGGATTCTACTCCCTATTCAGTTCACACTCAAAACTGGCAATTAGAAGCCCAGAATAAAAAGGAAAGTGGAATCAGGCAGCTGGACAGTAAGTCATGTAGTGTCTACAGACAATTATTATGCTCCCTTAGATGCCGCAGAGCTGCCATGTGCATATATTTACTACTACTACTACTAATAATAATAATAAATGAACCCAACGGAAAGCACCTATTCACATGGTTAAGCCAATATGAAATGTGAAGCTAACCTAACAAATTGGTATCACAAGTTCACAGAAACTCAAATGAACTCAAAGAATCTGGGAATAAAAAGGAGTAAGATGGGCAATCTTGAAACTGATACATTTAATAATACGGAGGTAAAAGATTCCAGAATATGAGGAGAAATGCTTAAAAACCACCAGGAATTCTCCATTTGCTTGCAACTGATGAACATTATTTTCCTTGGGTGCTAAAATGATATCTGTGTCAAATCAATAAGATTTAAAAGAACTTGGGGGAGGGGGACAGCCTATTCAAAGGCTAGAGAATCCAAGATGAGAAACGTTTAAGAAGAAGAATTTTAGGTTCGCTTGCAGTTCGTGACAATTATTAATCCACAATCGCTTGATAAGCTTCGGAAGGAAGGAGGAAATAAGTTCAATGCGCCTTGGTCTGCTTTCCAAGCAGGCACGCGCGGCTCCATAACTTAGCCTGGCGGCTTGTCCTTAAATCACCTCCTTTCACCCAGACACTGCAGAGGCAAGCTGGATGAGCTGGCACACAGCACAACAGAAAGCGGGCTGCAAAAGCAGAGCCATCACAAAGACGGCAGGAAATACCCCACCAATTCACTGTATCAAGGAACACTACCAAAGGGCAGGTCCAATTGCCCAACCGACCTCCCCACTTCCTTGCACTGCCTTTGCTTTAATAACAGTATTTAAAAAAAAAAAACTGGGGACGGGGGAGGAAACGGCATGCAGATCAGCAAAATGACGATGTCCTTGTGGATTGGGTGGAAGGCAGCGAAGCGCCACCTTCCAAAAGGGAGGGAATGGGGCGGAAGGCTTTCTTTTCCCCCCTCATGGGATCCAGAGCAACCACCCACTCCAAATATAGCTCGGGGGGGGGGGAGTGGGGCGACGTCATGCATCAAAATAGCCATGTGAGCAAGTGGGTGGTGGTCTCTGGCTGAGCCACTGCTGGGAAGCCCTGTGAGGCGGGGTAGCTCTGCCTACAAGGTCCAAAAGTAAAGGCTGCCTGCGGGGGTGGGGTGGGGGGCTAGGACTCTCTCTCTCTCTCTCTTTGCAATGACACAAGTTAACAAAGAAAGAAACCCTCCCCAAAGGTGGAGGCTCTCAAGCCGCGAGACCACTCCTCCCTGCATTTACTGTAATCTCTGTAATACTCATGCAACAACCGGGCAACTGCGGGATCACTGGGATTACTCATGCTGATGCACATTATTCGATGTGCGTCAGTGTAAGACATCACCACCACCACCACCACCCTAGATCCAGCAAAGCAGCAGTTTCGTGCAGGCTGGACTGACTGGCAAGTCTGCCTGCTCCATGGAAACTAAGCAGAACTTCCTTCCCAATAAACCTGGGGCAGGATCGGGGGTGGCGCAAGAAGCACAAACGTCCAGGGCACCCCACACGCTTATGCTTGCATAGCTCCCAGTCACCAGAAGCGAGGGAGGGAGGAAAGGAGCAGCATTAGCCTATTATGCACCATCATAAGCCTCACCAAGTCCCAGGTAAGTTAGCAAGGACCTGGCCCGGAGGAAAGGCTAGCATTAATGGGCTTTGTTGGCACGACCCCTCCCGGATTTGCAGAGAACCGCCCGGGGATCTACGGGCGAAAGGCGGTATATAAGTTTACTCCATAGAAATAAAATAATAATAATAATAAGAAGAGAGGAAGGCTGCTTCCCGCCCCCCCGGCGCATCTCTCGCTCCCGTCACCTTGGCGTCTTGGCAACCCATAGATTGCGGTTAAATAAAGCAATAAATAAGAAAGGCTAGCAAGGATAGCTGCTCTCCTTCCTCCTCCCCGCAGGCAGGGAATCAGTGCCTCCCCCTCGCATGCACCTCAAGTCGTTTGCACCTTTTGGAAAGCGAGGAGGATCAGAAGCGGGGAGTAAAATCGAGGCAGGCTGGGTCTTTTTGCCCTGCATCCGCGCCCCCACCCGCGCGTCGCCCCGTGCAGCAAGTGGTACTCACCGCGGGGGCATCTCCCATCGCCTCGGCGCAGGGCGAGGTATGCATGGTGGAAGCTCCCGCAGGCAGCAGCGATGTGACAAAGCCAGCAAGAGCTGCAGCCAGAACCGCCTCCTCCTCCTCCGCCTGCTTGCTTGCTTGCCTGCCTCCCACCTACCTCCTCCCGCCCTCCCTCCTCCGAGGGAGGCGAGCAGCCAAAACACAGAGGGAAACACACCAAAACACTCCATACAGCAAAAGCAGCTGGGAGGCGGGCGAAGGGAGGAGGAGAGAACGAAAGGGGAAGAGGGAGGGGGAGAGGCTGCTCGCCAATCGCAGCACGAGCTTCCTCCGGGCTGGCCAATGGGCTCCGCCGGGCGGCGTGATTGCCTCGTGCAGCTATGCTGATAGCAGGAAAGGCCCCTCGTGGGCACGTTCCGCGGCGGCGAGCCGAGTAGCCGAACCACCTTCTGGAAACTAGGGGAAAGGTCGGCGCGAGGAGAAGGAGGGAGGGGGAGGGAGGAGCCTGGCTGGGCCAGAGGAAGGGCGGGGCCGGCTGGCTGTCAGTAAGCGGGGAGGCGGCAAGCCAGCCAGGGAATGCCCGGACGTGAGAGCGGGAAGGGGCGGGGGCGGGGACGAGAGCGAGGGGGCGTGTTGCGAGGCAGGGCGCGCGCGCGTCGAAGAGACTGGGCTGAGAGCGTCGAGGACGTCGCCGCCCCCTCCCCAGCAACAGCGCCGCGCGCTACTCGCAGCCCCGCCCGCGGCTCGAGATCGTGCAGCCGAGCGTGACGCGGTGTCCTTTCTCGCCACACACGCTATTATTGCCAGATGTTGCGTTTCGGCCACGCAGAGTGGCCGTTAAAGGGCGTGGCTCCTCTGCGGAACCATCCTGCCCTGAGGCAAAGCCTCGTTACACCTTCTTTTCGAATAGTCCCCGTCTTTTCCGTTTTTATTTGTTAATTTTTTTTTTAAAAAGAAAATAACCCACACAAAAAAAACAAATACACAAAGCTTTTATTTATTCGACAAAACTTATACAGTATGTATATGTGTGTATATATATATATATATATATATATATATATACTGCTTGCGTACATAAAAATAAAACATTAGAATAAAAGACCAATTTGAAACATTTCTCCCCGCCCCCCCTTAATTCAGGTTATAATTAAAATTGAAGCGAAAAGAAAATGAGATGCCGACTTCTGCATGTCTGGAGTATTCTTATTTATTAAATTTCTATACTATACCACCCTGCAGGGCAGGTTATAATACAAAAACAAAACAAAAAATAACAGAATTATAGAATTGGAAGGGGTCCTAAGGGTCAACTATAATGCAGGGATCTCAACTAAAGCATCCATGACAGATGGCCATTGTAATGAACAGACAAAGTAGCTCTTCCCCCGCACAGTTTAAAAGGCCACAGATTTTAGAGGGATAGGCTTGCATGAATGAAATGTTTTTAGCAGGTGCCGAAAAGAGTGTGGGAGCAGCCAGTAGTACACAACCGACAGGGAGCTGAAAAGCACTTTCCCAGTGCTGCTTTCTGGACTTGGTCCTGCAAGTAGGGCCAGGACGACTGTATGTAATACAAAGCTCCCAATTCCCCAATTCCAGGATTATATCCTCTGTTGTTTCAAATACTGGGGGTCAATTCTCACAATTGCGTCTGCTGCGATACCTCCTACTTATGCTGACTTAGAGCTACCGCTCCCAAACAGAACTGATCGTATTGATCAAGAATAAATGTTTCCCGATTCTGTCAAATTAATGAGGATAGTCCAGTGGAAACCCTCAGAACTGTCTCTCTAAACTGGATAAATGTTTGAAAAATGCTCTACATTGGGACAAAAACTCCTGTGACTACATGCTATGCACGGTTGGCAGAAATGGGAGCTGATTTGAAGGGAATTGCACCTGCTTGACTTTTCTGCAGTAACCAGAGCCTAGCTAAAAGGATATAAGTGGGTCAGTATGATTGCGGATGGAATAGATCCTAGTTCTGTGTGTGGAGCGGTGTTGCAGAGATCTGTGGTCCCCCTGCCTTCCTAATGCTATGTGTATTAATTTGGGTTGCTTACACAGCCTCCAAATGTCCCTATTTTCCAGAGACAGAGACAGATTTACAGAAGCCACCCTGGTTTCTGTTTTGACCCTGGAATGTCCCACTTTTCCTTACAACGTCCCTATTTTCCTCAGATAAATGTTGGAGGGTACGAACTTACCGTGCTTAAAAGTCACAAGGATCACAGTACTATCAGGCAAAAACACAACAAAGGCAGGCATGGCAGATAAAATAGGATGGGGATCCCATCCTCTGAGTATGCTTGAGAAGGGAGGCTCAGGTGTAGTTAGGTACTGTTAAACTCTGGACTTGATGATTTTTCAGGACTCCTCTCTAGATGGTAAGGTGTGTTACCTGCATTGGCAGGTGCTGGCCTAAGTCACTTTCAACTCTAGGGGAGGAATTCAATGTCATACGCTTCTGATCATGCTTTTCTGCTTGCCTGGTGCAACAATTCCCTCCTCTCCCTCCCTGTTCTTGGGGTTCTCCTGGCACACACACACCCCAAGCAGATTTGGAGGAGAGCTCCATTGTGCTATCAGGAGCCCTTGCACTGGCTTCCACTAGCATGCTGGTGTTGTAAACACTGAGTAACTGAATCAGGGCCACAGATTTTCCTTCAAAAGGTTTTTAGCCAGTCCAGCTGCATTTAGAAAAAGCTCAGTTCAATTCTGAAGAAGAAGAAGAAGAAGAAGAAGAGCAGCTTTCAAGATACAATGCAGTATACACAAACAGATCTGCAAAGCAACAAAGGCCCCCAATGGCTGTTGCTATTTTTCCTGGGGAAGAAGCAGTTCTGCAAAGGAGCAATTGCAAAGTCATGAAGTGGAAGCGGGGGGTGCAGCTTTCCCCCTGCCTGTCATTTTTTGTTCCACATCACTCCTCCTGCCCCTCAGCCACTTCTCCCCACCATTGCTCCAAGCGAAAGGGGGTCAGAGGCCAAGGCAAGTCCTGAAAACGCCAGTAATGCCAGCCTGGCAGCCCGAAACTAGGGGAGAGGTCAAAGCACAGAGAGGAACAGCTTGCCTCCGCAGCAGTTCTCAAATAGAAGTGAACCTGGGAATGGGGTGACAGCTGTCTCTTTTACAAATGAGAAGGATTCTTGAATGGTTGCTGGCAAGCTGTGGAAGTGAAAAAGAAAACCCCCACCAGGCTTGGCATTTGGGAGCTGGCAGTGACATGAGCCACGTTCCACACAGCGTTGTCCTGAAACCAGGGGTCAAATCTGTGTCAGGGTGCCTTGTACTACATTTGAGCACCTAATCCAAACATAGCAGGAACTCTTCCCTGGGGACCCGGGCGGTGCGGGGGGCAGGGGGGGAGGCACCGATTCAGCACTACCTGAGAGTAAGAGAACAGCCTGGCCCTTCACGTCCCCAAAACACTATTTCTTTTAAAAAGAGAGAGAGAAAGAAATCGAGGACATGTTTTTAAAGTATGACAGGCAGAGGCTATTCTAGGTTTTAACAGAGGAAGAGAAGCACATCTTATTTCTAAAGCAGCATACTGTGAGATACAATGACAGTGATATCTTTTCTGTGAACTGCCCTGAGACCTCCAGGTATAGGGCGGTATATAAATTCAATCAATCAATCAATGACAGACCCATTTCATTGTATTCATGGCACATTTGGAAGATTGTAGTGGTGGGGAGCCTCAGGTCTGTGTGAGGTAGGAATTTACTTCTGTACCACCTTGTTCTTACCCAGGTGAGGGAGCACCTTTAAATAAAACATGGAACCAAATAATAATAACAATCTCTGTGTTCTGTAGGAAGCTGGTTTATTGTAATAGTCAAAACAAAAAAAATTCCTTCCAGTAGCACCTTAAAGACCAACTAAGTTAGTTCTTGGTATGAGCTTTCGTGTGCATGCACACTTCTTCAGATACACAGTGTGCATGCACACGAAAGCTCATACCAAGAACTAACTTAGTTGGTCTTTAAGGTGCTACTGGAAGGAATTTTTTTTGTTTTGACTATGGCAGACCAACACGGCTACCCATCTGCAACTGGAATTATTGCAATAGGACAGCCTTGCCAACCAGCTGCTCAACTGCTACTTAGAAGGGCTGCCCCAAGATACATCAGAACAAAGTTTATATGGCTACTTACACCATAGTGCATAAAGAGTCATCAAAACATCTCTAAACACCCTTCTACATACATTAAGAAAGGTTACAGGTCATGGGATGTAAAATAGGCATGGCTTCATATTGATATCAACTTCCTTGGGGTGTTCCAAAACAATCCATCTCAAATGTCGCACCTCTATCACCCTTCCTCTGGCAACCAGGCCTTCGTGGTGCTGTTGACATTCCTTTCTTTATCTCACTTTCCCTTGCCTCTCCTATCAATTTCCCAGGAGACTTCAAGGATAGGTTTGGATTTTCACTCTGATGTTAACTAGAACAACATCCTTAAATGACCATTTGTGCCACTTTCAGGGTTAGATAGGAAAGGAATGCAGCGTTGGAGTCCTGATAGGCAAGCACACAAACAAAACCAAGACTAGAAAGGTTCAATACAATTAATGTTGGAACATTTTTAAAATGAATAAAATCTACTCCCTGGGCCTCCAACTCTTACATCATGTGGATGTCATTAGTTCTGGTAAGGCAAAGGAAAACCCTTCAACTGATGTTATGGAGATGTCAGGTGACTAACAGGTATGCAGCTATTCCTACTTAATCCAAATGGTCCACAGAGGTTAAGGGAACAACCAGTCTCCCTGCTGAAAACATTGCCCACCTCTGCAACATAGTGATCCCCCACCTTCTTAGAGCTCTTTCCTCCACCTGCCCCCCCCCCAAAGCTAGATTTTTGTTTTATACATAAATGTGTGAGATGCATTCTGCTCTTTATCATTCTGGAAAGCTTATTCAGGATTTGGGACTAAGCCAGCTATCACATTCTGTGTTATGGAAACATACACATTTTTATTTTATTTTTACCAAACAAACAAAACAAAACACTATATAGGGCCTAGTTCAGTGTGATGTAGAGAACCACAGTTGAATCAGGATTTGAATCTGGGTCTCCCCCAGTCCCAATAATTCAACATTCTGACACAAAAATTGCCCCAAATTTCTCATAGCTGATGCCCATTCCCTCCCCTCAAAAAATAAGAATGATCCGTCCTCAGTAAAATAATACTGATGATTATCATGAAGCATTATCTGTTCTCCAAGGATTCCTATCCTTGCATTTCTGTGTAATGAGTCATTGCTTTGGGGCTTGGAGTCGTCTTGCAACAGGGCAGGCCGTTTCCTTTGCAGGGATGGTGAATTCTGCTTTATCATGGGCAATGACTGGATTATCCAATTATGCCTAATGCAGAAG